ATATATACATATTTATTTATTTATTTATATACCCTCCATGACCTCCAAGGGGTTTTAGCACGCTTACCAGGTCACACAGGTGTCCATGGATTCGGGCCTCACCTAGTTAGCAGGATTGCCAGGTGTTGGCCCCAGTAGGGGCATGTGAATGGCTGTTTTCATGGTGTGGGTAGCTCAGCTGAGTAGGGTGGCCCTGTGGGGCAGAGGGGACCAGGGGCCACAGCCACAGCTGCCTCTGGGATAAGATTTCAGGTGGGACTGTTTGGAGTCCCTTCCACCCCAAACCCCTGCTCAGGGGCCTCCTCTTAAAGGGAAAACTGCCAAAAAGGGGAAAAAGCAGAGCCTGGCAGGGAAGGGGCAGTGTATACCCATAGACGGGGCCAGAAGTGCCCCCTGACTGCAGAAGGAGATCAGAGCACCTGCAAAAAAGCGAGGCTAGCGAGGTGGGTGCCTCCGAGGATGGCTTCACCTGCGCCTTCCCTGCATAGCCGCTGGCCCAGAGGACCGGCTGCTTATGGCTCTGTCCCAGCACTTATGGCTCTGTCCCAGCACTTACGGCAGGAGGATTGAAGGAGGCTTCCCAAAAAGGGAACAGGTAAAATGAATGGTGTGAAAGGGGCATCATAACTGTGTCCGTACTGCTCTGCAAGCAAAGCTGCAACGGTGATGCGTTCCGGTCATCGCCTTGCAGGGCACCTGAACGCCGCTCTTCAGCGTGTATTGAAGCTGCATGTCCCTGTCAGTGCTGTATCCAATGAGAAATGCAACATGAAACCCAGATTAATCTAGCGCTGAGGACAGCCATGGCAAACAGGGCAGAGCTTAGCCAGTAACTCCTGGGACCCAGGAGGAAGGCAGGGGGGCCTGTGCGTGTGCGTACATTTGGGGGTGTGCAAGGGACGATGCGCGTTGTGAGCAACTCATAAAGAAGCCAGTGCTGGGAACAGATCAAACACACAACTTTCACAGCCATGAGAAAAGTTATTATAATTCTTTAATTCACTTTTATTTGAGTGCTGTGATCAGTCTTTTCCATCTGCAAGAGCTCTCGTGTCCATGCCACCACCACGTGGAGCGGGAGCTAGGACATTTCACCCCAGTGAGCATGAAGAATGGCTTCATGTCTCACACCACTAAGACACAGAAATAAAACACCAGCTCCTCCCACATGCCACTAGCTCACCGGATGCATGATCACACTCAACCAGTTTCCTCTTCAACTTGTTCAGCAGTTCACCCCAAACAGTGCTACGGGGTGGCTCTGTTCCCAGGAAAGGTATCTTTTCAAACCCATCTGCACCATGGCAGGAGGGGAGCAGCTCTCATTAGCTGTGCTGCGGCAGGATTTCTGTGCCTTGATTTCTGCGCAGGCGGCCTTGTCACGGAGCAAGCTGGGGCTGAGCCCCTGGCAGCAGGTCCAGCAAAGCTTGGGAATAGCCACGAGGCAAGCGTTGTGCAAGCGTGTGGGAAGGGAGAGGGGAACGAGGGCCCTGAATCTGAACCGTTTCTAAACGCAGCTTTGTAAAACCAAAACAACTGACTTGAATCTCGCTCTCGCTCTTTCTTCAGGTAGGGTTTTTGTCCCTTCCCCTAAGGTTCACAAAGGAATTTGGCGGTATGTGGAGCCTCTCTTCTGCCATTTTTAGGGGACCAGCCTTTTTGGTGCCAATTTTTTAGGAGCAGAGAGAACGTAAAGAGGCAAAGAGAAGCAAGATATTCCTAAGCTTAATATATCTGCTGGCATAAGTCACACGACTGCTTTCAGAGGCTGAATTCTGGCTTTTCTTGCTTTTTTCCTTTCTAAGGAAGATTGAAATCCTTCTGCTCTGCTGAAAAGCACAGCAAAACCCTTTGTGGCAGCTCAGATTCAGAGCTGCACAAAGCAACTGGAATTCCTCTGTCTCTCTGCCCTCCCCTTCCTCATCAGAGCACTGTCCCCCTGCCCCGCCAAGGATGGCAGAGGAAACCACCTCTGTTCTCTGCCTCCTCTAACAAACATTTTACCTAGCTTGTTTCCTCAGGCACCTGAAGACCTGACCATAGTCTGCTTTTCATTTACATTTTTAGATCTGTCTGAAACTGCACCAGGCAAAGGTTTCCAATCAAATCTACGTTAATTGCTGCCATCCTGGCAGCATCCTGCTATTACAGGCATGCAAGCAGGGAAATGCGTAACAGACTTTTGCTTGTTTTTTCTCCAGGGTTGATAGTGTTGGGCTGACTCCAGGATGTCAGAGACCCCTAGGTTTTCCAATAGCTTGTCACCTTTCCAAGCAGGGTGACCAAAGGCAGATTTAGCGGTACAAAATACAGTTTCTTTGCTGGGGTGAACGTGTTGACCATGGCTTTCAAAGCAAACCGAATTTCCAGCTCTGTGGTAAGCAGAAGGTACCCCATGGTGTGTTGAAAAGAAAGCAAGAGAGAGAAATACATTATTTGAATCAAGGTGTTGCACTGGAGTCCATTGGTGAAAGGAAATGCGTGGCTGAATTCTCTGGAGATGGACAGAGAAAATGTGCATCCATATGACTCCAGAAAGGGTTTGGTCAGTCAGGATCAAAAAGATGGCATTTCAAAAGTCAAGTTTAATGCCCTAAGGCTATGCCTGCAGAGTCTGCTGACCTCTCTGGAAATGAGAGTGCTCCATCCACTAGCACCTACTGAAAGCTGCTGTGCCAATTAGAGGTATTGGCAATTTAAGGTTGGCCAGGAAGCGCATCAGTGCCCTTTCATCCATACCTCACTGCAGGAAGCAGTGCCAGGTAACCTAGCTGATACAAGAACCTATCAGTCCAGCAGAAATCACCTCCCCGTATTGCTCAGCCGTTTCCCACCACAGAGAGGAAATCACATCATTGCGGCCAGCTACCATGCTGTCTCCGCAGAGCACAAAGTGGCAATGTGCACCAAGAAGCAGGGGAAGAGGGCTGGGAAGTGTGGGTTCTCCAAGCGTGCATTGTGTGGCAGGCAAGGGGGTCTGTGCGCGTGGCTTCATCCCCACAAAGTACTATATTGCCTAAGTGAAGTATAAATCTCTCTTTTATATACAGGTCTATTTATTAGCCTGCAGGGAATCCACGAGGTAGTGTGAACACAGATGTGCTTCTCTGTGCAGGAAGAGGAACAAGCAGGGTGAGTCTTGAGGCTACTCAGGGTGATGGGAACAAAGAAAGTGCATAGAACAACTATAGCTGCTTAGAATCAGATGTACAAAAATAAAACGGTGGCTCAGTCTGTGGCATGGCAGGAGCTGGGCTGATAGCATCCAACACGGTATTCATGCCTCCCCTTATGGAGAGGCTTTCATCATGACAATAGTTTCAATTCACATTTGTACTAGTAGAACTGAAACTTGGTTTGGTGTCTGAGCAGCAGGATAACGTGTGCTTCCCTTCTCTCCCTCCCACATGCACTTTGCTCAAACATCCTCATGGTCTCCAGCGTGATGTTAAGAGTGCAACACCTGCAGAATGCAAAATACCCAACCCAGGGCAAAGGAAAGTAAATGCCCTTTTGCCAGGAAGGCACATCCCCTTGTTCAGAACTGTCCCAGACTTCATCTCTTCTGTGCCATACCTGGGTGAAACAGATGAAGGTTATCCTTGAAACCAAGCTCTTTTACAGGATTTTCTTTCCTTTTCTCCTCTTCCTCTTCTTTGCTTTTATACACATGTGTATATACATATATGTGTATATCTATATTTATTTTTCCTCTAATACAAGTGAACACAAATGCGATGTGGAGATAAATTCTCATATCTAAAAGACTTTGTGGCTGCAGGAATGTACACTTTCGCATTTACGCACCCACACACATTCCAAATATCAAAAAAATTGTAGTCCTAAAACTAAGATGCTTTAAAAAAAGTTAAAAGGCCAGATTCCTCTGTTGGCTTTATCCTTCATTAAGAGCAAGAAGATTACCTGAAATCATGATTTATTCTTCATATTCTGCCTGAGTTCACTTTAAAATTCCAATCAGCAGATGCAAGGAAGAGCGGAGGGGAAGCTAGTGGGGGGTCACGTTAGGCTTTGAAAAGGAAAATTAGAGATAATATTTTTCTTTCTAATTTTTTTTCCACTTGAGTTTCACTTTATAAGAAAGTTATTGAAAGGAAGCTTTGTGTGACTGTATTGGCTTCAAAATAAGTCCCCGTGCCCTCTGGATTAAAAAGAGCAAATCTAAGAGATTGGGAATGGGAGCAGGAGAGAAAAAAAGAAAGAAACAAAACCCCTAAACCATGCCCTTCTTTCTATTCTTGGGTTAGTTTTGAGCATCTTTCATTATAAGCATCTTATTATTTGATTCAGCAGTCTTGGCTGTTTTGCTCTTCGTAAATGGGATTTGCTATCCCCACAGCCAAAGGGGAGGCGGTTTTCTCAAAAGAAGGGAGGAAAAAAGCTCTACAGAGTTGGATTTGGGCACTGGCTGGGCTTTAAAACTTCACACAAGGTGGAACAAGGGTTGTGAAGGGATCCACACCTGGCCGCAAACAGTGTAGAGATTGATACAGGGGAGCCTATGGACATTTAATCAGGTTGGGCATGTCCCATCCAACACAGGGCACCTGTCCACCCATATATGCATGCACGCACACAGCCAACTTGGTGCAGGGGGGCCAGCATGAGAAAAGAAAGATGCAAGAGCTGGATGAGACATGGGCAAAGGCAGAATGTTCCCTTGAGCGTTAGCAAGCCAGGCAGATACTTAACCTAATCATGTCAATTACAGTTGCACCAAAATTTAAAAAATAAATAAATAAAAGAAGCAGTGGCAAAGGGGGGATTTAAAAGGCCTTGGTTGTTGAGCGACAGGGCCAGGAGAAGTGAAAAAAAAAGCTTCTTCATTTTGCTGTGTCGACACTTTAAACATACTGTTCCTTAGGACAGATGTAAGGAGCCCGAGAACCAGGTGGTGGGCAGCAGAAGGAGATGTCAGAATGATGAGGGTAAAGATCTTGCGGGAGATCTGACAAAGGGGTATAGACACGAGGGATCTTCTCCAGATATCGATCTTCGTGTGAGTAACAGCGGGTTAGGTAATCACTCGCATTCGATATCTCTGAGTGACACTTTCCAAAGTTCTGCAAGTAGAGACAAAAGTCAATGGATTAAAAACTCTGGAATCACTGGCCATAAAACATACAGCTCTTCAGCTTCTTGCTGAGGCACACGTATAACAAGTAGGATGGAAAATTAAATAGTTCTGCTTACTGCTTCAGAAAAATAGAAATGCAGGTGATGAGTCCTCATATTTCACCTTGGACTGTTTTTGTCAGTAAGAAATGTTTGTCTCACTTCCGGAAATATCCATTCTTCTAATTAATATGTATATAATTTTGCATTTTTTGCCCTAAACCTGTCAGTGCTATGACTCTCTCTAAATATAATAAACAGTGAGGTAAGAAATAACAGCTTGTTTTCAGTCTTCCTAAGTCTTCTACACTTTAGTTTTGAAAAATCAGGACTTGGGCGTATTGTTAATCTAATCCAGAATCATGCTCTTTTAAGCAAAGGACACATTCATCTGGCCAGGGACTTTGGAGGTAAAATAAATTGTTGTGTCTAATATGCATCTAGTATATATGCATGCATGTCCTAGACTTTGCTTGTGTGAGCAGTTCCACTGAAAGCCTTGGGACCAGTCTTATAAGTCAAATCAACTATGGACAATGTAAAGCACTTGCAAGATTGAGAGCAACCTGGGAACCCACAATCTTCCCTCTAATGGAGTTTATTCTAATGGATACTTTGCAAAATCTGATTCTCTCTCTTCAAGTGCCAAATGAAATGAAAAGCCCTTGGAGTCCAAAGTGCTTTGATTTCTATTGAGATAATTTTGCAGAGGTGCAGCAACCGATACTGAACAAACACTGCTTGTTCCAGTGCAAAAATCGCAAAGACCCCTTTCCCCTGGCAAAGCTCAGTGCAAACAGCAGCAACAGGAAGATCAGAGGCAATCTCTGCACGCGGGGTATGTCTATTTGAGCTGAGGGATGCAGAGCTCTCCCACAACCCAGGACTGTGGTTCCCCAGAGGGTGGCAGCAGATGGGAAGGATTCATGCTTGCTCACAGACCATTTCTTCTGGCTTGAAGCCCTGTGAGATGACCCAAGCGGGAGGAATATCTAGTGAGGACAATACTCTATGTTCTTGTTGTTATTAAAGTCAATCCACACTCATGGACCCCCACCAAGGGCTAATCTCTTCTCTGAGAGACAGCAAATCCATTGGAATCATCTTTTATCTGTGTGGTTTGATTTGGTCTGGTTGAGGCAAGTAGTTTTCTTGAGTTCTTCCTTGTTCTCTTTCAAAATATGAGAAACAGTCTGTTCAGTGAGGAGGACAAGGAACTGGCCCTCAGGAGAAAAACCCTGAAGGAACACAACAATCCACTCTGCTTGTCTGCTGCCAGTTCTTGGATAAATATTTCACTAGGATGCTTAAAAAATCATATAGAAAACAAAGTGTCAATAATGATTTATTGATGATTCAGACTACTATAAGAGGCAGCAAGCAAGTTGGAGGGTTGCACAGTCTTGAGGCAGTTTCAGGAACAGCATATCTAGGAGCAATGAAGGCCACTAGAGGATGGAAATTTGTCTGAGCACCAGCAAAACAGATGCAATGCTAAGGTTAATCTGACTTTCCTTTTCCTCTCCTTGGCAGAACTGTGTACCCCACTGCTTAAGCTTTTAAAAGGCAATGATCTTGATCTGGGCAGATAGCAAAGGGTCACATAATAGACCCCAGTCTAGGTACGTTCTATTTAGAATTGCCGTGCTGTTTTTTCTGAAATGCAGGTGGGTCAGGCCCACACCTGCCTCATGAGGTTTGTGTCTACTTCTTGTTTTTTAATTGCAAAATGAAAAGAAAAAGAGGGACTGTGTGGCATTACAGCTATTTAACTGAAACGACCCAAGCTAGGGAGCATAAGAAAGCTGGACTAACTCTACCTTAGCCCCTCTAATCATGTCCCAGCTGGTTCAGACAACCTTGACATACAGCTCTCCCATTCTTAGGAGGAAACTATATTTACACAAAAGGTTTAGGCCTTTACAGATTTGCCCTATACCAGACACAACTCTGGGATGGGAAAACTGGGCAGACTATGGCAACACAGGCTACAAGGATGGAGACAGTTATTCTCATACGGGTTTTATTGCATAAATAGGACCCATACCATAAAGGAAGAAGGGAACAAAGAGCAGCTGATGGCTGTTTCTGATTGTTCTAGCTGATGAAAAAGGATAAAGAAGAATTACCAAAACCCAAGGAAAGTCTAAGCCTGCCTAGAACGCCTGAGGTTTTTTCCCCATGTATAATCTGCTGTTACATAGATCTCAAACACAACTGTTCTCCTTTCCATGCTGAGGGTGAGGGGAAGTAATGGGCCTACTCTCCTCTTTTTTTTTCCTCCAGCTGTAGTCGTTAATGGACAGCTGAGCTTCCTGATTAAAGCTCACCTGAAAAGGAAGTTGTTGTAATGTTAGAACTCAAGCAAGGTGTAGCAGGCAGAAGGATCTCCTGTCCAGGTTAGTGTTCTATTTTCTATTAAGTTGGACAGTGGGAGAATGTGGTCTTTGGGCATGCTGTGGGAAAGCATAGGGCTTCACACTGGTATGAGGACTCAAAATAGGAAGAGAAAGGTCTGATAGGAAAGAAGAATTCTTAGGTAAAACGAGTAGGCACCTTGTGCAGACTGAGCTGGTTGTTAACATCTAGCAATGAAAGAAGTAGGAGGAGTTGTGAGATGCTATTTCATGGGTTGCTTCTTTGATAATACACTGGGTTAGCCACGTGCATTTTTTCTGTCTGTTTAGCTGTTAACATGGGCATGAAACAAGTGCAGCAGAGCTAGAGAAACTCAGGGCAGGTTTGTCAGCACTTTGATCTCGTTAGGTTAATACAAACAAACTTGCCTTTTCTGTCTGTGTTTTGTGCTTGCTTTTCACAGTTGGGAGTAGGGCCAGAGCAGGGCAGCTGGAGAATGCAAGCATAGGGGTCAAAGGAAGAGAGTTCCCTGTCTCCTCTCACCTGTCTTCAGCATGTGAAGCCAGAAGTCAGAGGGCTCTTGCTTTGTTCCCTGATCTTATTTCTAAGTGGTAAAAGGGAAGAGAACAAAATCGGCCTGATGTTTATTAACATATTTAACAGCCGATGCCCTTTGACTTCCTTCCCCAGTCCCACTGTGACTTTTCCCAAATCTAATTTATCTTTAACAAAGTTTGAAATTAAATTAGGGATAATGAGCTAATTAAATTGAACCGGCACACAATTCTGCCACCTTCCCCCACCTAACTTCTCCCTCTTGCTTTTGTTTCCAATGCGATTCCATACAGTTCTTCATTATCTGGGTTACATCCTCCCCCCTCAGTTTTATTTTCAAGAACCTGATTAAAGAGGATGTCAGCAATCTATCCATTTCAGACAGCCTGGCAAATTATCTTTAAATGGTCTTTATTTGATTAAATTAGAGAGCTTTCATTTTTGCTATGACTTGCTCTCAACTCTCTTCCATCTCCCTATGCTCTTGGCTCAAGTTTTTTTTTTTCTCCTCTTTTCTTTTTCTTTTAGTCTCTCCATACAACTAGGTATGCTACAAACAGCTTTCCCTCCAATCTGACCATATCCCATACTTTTAATCATCCCTAAATAATAATAAGAAATGGGCTAGAAGTGAAAAATTCCTTGTCAGGACCCTGAGGATTCATGTGCTCTATTCTCTGGAAAATCTGAAGACTATATAACATGGGAGAAATAGACAGATATTACTACAGAAGGCTCAGGTTTCTGATTTTGCTCAAAAGCCCAAGGGCCACTTAATAACCTTTTGTGTAGTTTAAACTTGTCTTTAGTCCTGCCACATGACTAATCACTAGAAATAGGCTATTTTTCTCCACTTGGCCAAATCCTAGGTAACAAACACAGTGCTCACGCTTGCGTGCTCACCTACTGTGTTAGTCTGGTCCCTGGCAGGGAAAAGCCCCTGCAGTTCAGAGCTATTCAGACTTTGGGTTGTCACTACCCTAACCCTCTCCATCAGCAGTTTTTGAATTCTGGAATTTGGCACAAGATGATGGACAGAAAGAAGTAGTTTTGGTGAGTGACAGCAATAGAGGACTGTTATCCAGTGGACCAGTCAGTGGGGCTGATGGGGGAGTTGGAAGATAGAAAAAATCATGGACACCAAAAATAAGAAGCACTTCATCATGGTATTGGAGACTCAAATCTGCATCATCTCCTGTCTGTTTCTAAACTTCCTGCTCTGCCTTTTCCTACTGCCGTTCATCTTTGAAGTATGGCAACAACTTTAGGTATTTCTTAGCATGCTCACGCTCTGTGTTTGGCACCTAGTCTATACAGGAGCTCCTGGAATAATCACTGTGCGAGGTAAAGAGTAAGCATTAACACATAGGGGATAGGTGGGGAGCAGAGGCCCTGAGGCAGCTTGCTCTTAGGAGTGATGGATTTTTGTGAGGACAAAACTGAGGGCAGATTGGACAGAAAGGGAGGCTTAGTTTTGGGTTGAGAAGAAGGAAAGATTGAGCATGAGGAAAGCTGAAATTCCCAAAATATAGGGCAGGAAGCTATGATGAGGGATGAACACACAGACTCATGCAAATACTATTTATGTAGGAAACTCGCTCATGAAGTTACATTCCTTCTTACCTCATACTTTAAACTCTTCATCTCTCGCTAACTGTATTTACTTACCTGTCCTCTGTTCCTAGAATATAAACTACTTCCTTCAGTTATCTTAATCATTTCCCTCCATGCTGTTTCTCCCCTCAGCCCTCCTCTCTACCCTTTCAGAATCAGGGCAGGATTGTTGTTCTCATCTTGCAGATTGGAAACTAATGAGGAGCCATCTTGGTTCTTTGCTTTGTTATTTCTCCTGTAAATTGGAAAGAATGGGCTATTGAACTGGGGGATTTCCAAGCAACTTTGATAGGAAGGAAATGTAGGAATCAAAGACTGAATCAAGGCTGTTATGACTAATGGTTCTCCAGTATCCTCAGTTCAAAATCTGCACCGAAGTTGCACCATATCTGTAAGTGGTGCAGATTTTAGGAATTTTACTGTGGCATTTGGAAAGCAGAGCTGGTTGCTGATTTGCTAGGATCTTGGAGTCTATCTCGTGGTTTCAGCTATTCTTCTTGTAACATGGGCAAAAAAATCCCCCCCAAAAAACTAAGAGCAGGAGGGTGGACGTGAAAGGGGAGGAAATAATTAAAAAGCATAAAAAAAAAAAAATCACCCTGATCTGTGGTTTATCTTAGCAGGGAGATTTTGTGGCGGTAAGATTACACCTTCAAAGCACCATATGACTGGCTTTATTTTCACTTCAGAGAGACTGGGAGGATTTCCAAATTTGGATTGGGAGGATTACTGTCCTTTCGCTGACAATAAAATCCTCCACCCCCAGGAGGACAAGGCGAGACCTCCCAAGGTGGATTAAGGAGTGCTTGCCTTGTTTATAGCAGTGGGAATGGCCTTCCAGTGCAGCCTGAGAAACTGTAAGGAAGGAGGGCTGAAAGGATAAGTGAAAGGCAGCTGCTTTCAACCATGGCTTCCTCTAGGCACTCCTGCTGCAGCAACAGGAGCATATGCTGGCAACCAACCCCTTCCTCATACCCCAGCCTGGACATGGTCCAAAGGTTGTGCTGCAGGCATGGCATATGAGTAGGGGCACTTAGAGCACAAGGATTCAGCATGCCCAGGAGCAAGGGCTGTTTGCTGCCCTGTGTGAGATAGCTTTGCTCAGAGGATCACAAGCCCATTAGTACAGCCACCTCCTACGCACCCCAGACCAGACTGGTGTTCATCTCAGCAGAGGAGCTTCTGGCTGAACAGTGCATGGGGATGAGATTTCATCTTGTATCTCTTAGCTTTTAGGAGGTTAGTAATGCCACTGCCCACTGGTGACAGGCAGGCAGGTGCCTGGTAGCTGACCAACACCTCTTTCCAGCAACAGACAGACTCCACAGCCAAACAGAGAAAAGAAAAACTGAACCAAACCAAAACTTACTGTCCACTCTCGCTCGTTACGTCTACGAAGACCTTGATCCTCATTCTGGGAGCAGGGATAGGTGAGATACCGCAAGAGAGAGAGGTTACCGTTTGGATCCGGGCCAGGCCTGCTGCAAACACTTACCTAGGAAGGCCTCTGCTATAGCAAGGGAACTACAGGGCTCCTTCCAACACAGGAAAGCCAGGGTTCACAGGGATAAAGGCAGACTGAACTATCTCATTGCGAACCTGCAACCTAGGCATCTCCACTCCAGTGCTACCCACCTGATGGCACTGATGTTTCTTGTCTGGAATGAAGCACTGCTTCAATAGGACTATCCAGTGGGACTTTTTTTTTTTTTTTTAAATAATAATTTCCCTCCTGCTCATCCTTTTGCACTGAGCTGTTCTCTTCCTTCCCAAGGATGCAATTCCCTGTCTTTTCTTGTCTTCTTTCCCCAAACCAGCCCTTCTCCATTCCTGAGCTACTGCCTCTCTCAGTAGTCCTTCTCTGACTTATGCTGGGCAGCCTGCGATTCAGTGACCTGCAAAGGACCCCAGCTCTCCCTCTGCTTTCTTCCTCATGTTCCTGTCTTTCTCTGTGCCTCTTTGTGGTGCGTGCATGAGTGGGGCTGTAGCCCTGTTAAGCCCATGGCCCCTTCCTCCCGTTTGAAAGGCAGCATGATCAAGGGGAAGGAGCAGGGGAGAAGCTGCAATCGCCACAAATTAGGGAGCACGCATGGGCACTGAGCAAGGGAGAGCTGCAGCTGAGGAGGGAGCTGCCAGTGTCATTTCCTTGGCCAAAGGCTGTTGGTCTCACCCAACATATTGGCTGGTTTGGGGAGACACCTGGCACTAAGAATATTTGTCACTCTTGCATCAGCAGTGAGGGAGTAATCTGGTTAGGGTTTTAGCTTGAACAGGAGAGCCAGACTCCAAGCTGTGTGCAGTCCATGGTCTGGGATAAGCAGTTCTGCTTGCCTGCTCTCTTCACGCTTTTTGGTGTCTCTTCAGTCCAGGGAGCCCAGCTCCCCGTCATCAGCTATCGTGTATGCTCTAAGCCCTGTCTGAAGGTGAACCCTTTGCTACCAGACTTAGCTCCTCAGGCACTTGCTTATAGCTGTCTTGACTCCCAGCTGTGTGAACGTCTCACTGCCACTCCATAGAATTTGACTATAAAGGAGTTACCTGTACCATGTACCTGTACCTTGCCCATCGAATCGTAATTACACAGGCCCTGTTAATTTGTTGACGCTTTTCTGAATCTTCATGTCGCTCAGATCCCTGTGATGCTTGAATGTGTCTGGCCATAAACCATGCTGCTCTAGTTGGAAATGCCAGCTGATCTTTCAAAGGGCGTCAAGGGATCTGGGAGCGTGCAGAGGCTGGAGTTCAGGTCATGAACTGCTGAGCCCAGCAGGACCCCATCTCCTGAATGGGTGGGAAAGGAGAGCTGCTTCCCTTTCAGCTAGGGAATTGGAGGCCTCTACGCTTCAATGCCCTAAAAAGGGTAAGGGAGTGTAAGTAAGCCTAAGGACCCTGCTTTCTTTTGCAAACACCAACCTGCTCCAAAGGGTCACTGGTAGCTAGAGATGAATTAAAACTACCTCCTGTCAGTTCAAATGGAAGGTGGGTCCTAACTGGTCCCTGCCACAGGGGCTGAGCTTAAAGGAGCTTGGGGATCCTGAAACAGAGCGGTCAGAGAAACACATGAACAAAGGAAGCAGTTAGGTCTGATCTGTGTTCTGAGATGGAGAGCGCCAGAGGAAATAATGTTTCTCCCTCTCACAAACGTCTAAACAGATGTTGTCTGTATCTGCTGCAGACAACACAATCTCCTTTTTTTGCACACACCATCCCTCTCTTACTGCCTCTTATTCACAGGCTCTTTTGGACGCAGGAACCTTTACACGTTCCCATATTCTCTCACGTACTCTCCCACCTTGTTCTTTCACACATACACATATGCTCCCTCTTATCTATAGTCTCTTTCACACACACGAGCTCTTTTCCACCCATGTGCTAACCCCCACATTTGCTTTTCCTCGCTCACATTTACACGCTTGGGGAGTGAGCAGCGAGAAGTTTTTCTCCTTTCTGAGCAGAGTGGCCAGAGAGGATACAGGAAGGGCAGAGAGCAGACCTTTGAACAAGGCAACAATTTTTTTCAAACCTTGGGTGCTTCCGCCCTCCTCCAAAATCCTGTTCTTCTGCTGGGCACGCTTTTTGGGGCAGTGCTCTGAGGACCCAGCTAAGCAGCCTGCCAACAGGACACTTGTTTTTCTTCAGTGTCCTGGCTATGCAGTTGGACTTGTCACTGTTTGCAGTCTATAAGGTGCAGCTCTGGCTGACAAGCCAGGCTGTGGCTTTTCCAGGTGTTAAGGTATTAAGTGCTCCCACCTTCTAGACAAACAACCAGCTCCATTCCTTTTTTGTCTTGCTGCTTTTATTTCCTCTCTCTGTGTATCCTGGGTTTTTAGTACCTTAGTACCTCTAGGCCTCTCATTGCTTTTTCTCATTCAGTCCCCTTCTCTTTGCCTCCCCTATGTGCACTAAAGAGCTAGGTTTTCTCTGGTCCATCCTCCTTTTCTGCTGACCCCAGAGAATACTTGGAAAGTTTCTTTTAACATCTCCTCATGGTTTTTGTCCTCAGCTTCGGCACGTTGTCGTGATGTTGCTTTGCTTCAGGCTGCTAAGTCATACAAAAAGCCCCCCTAAACCAAATCCTACACCAAGAGCTGTACCTTCCAAACCCACCTCACTTCTTCCCATGCTGCCAGCCACACTGGCTGCAGAGGGGACCCCTGTCCAGAAACCAAGCTGTTATCTCTTTCCCCTCCCACATACCTCACCTCACTGCAGAAAGAAAAAGGAAAACTCTGCAAAGAGCATGCACGGAAGGCAAGACAAAGGCATTCTTGTTGTCAGCACCACAAGGAGGATGGGGTAGCAAAGAGACCAGCAGTCACGGAGCAGCATGCAGGAGGGCAAAGGAGCTGCAGAGAGGACAGACTGGATTGCAAAGGAGCCATTCCACAAGAAGGGAAAGCGATGCAGGAGGGAAGCACTGACTTCAGAGGAACATACTGAGGAAGGCAGAGTGTGATCGTATACCTTGAGGCCAGAATCTGAGGGGAAAGGGCCTAGAATGACATGCGCTAGCGTAAGTTTGGCTGGATGGTTGCATACTCGACTAGGTCTCCGCCAGCATGGATGGAGGTCCGAGGACTGGGTGACGAGGCCAGAGCGGACGTGTCCAGCTCTGCATAGTGGACATCACAGTCCTTGTTGCCAGAGTTCTGGAGAGAAGAGACCAGCAAGGCAGTGGGGACACAGAGGGGAGGAAGGGGAGGGGTGAGAGATGGGAAACAGGGGAGTGTGAACAGAGGATCCGTGCCAAAGGCAGGGGGGTGAGTGAATGAGATAGGAAAGGAGAAGGAGGAGTATGTGAAAGGAGGGGGAGAAAGAAGAAAAGGGTGAAAAGGGAAAGGAAGAAGAAACAGTTAAAAAGAGGGAGGGAGGTAATGAACAATCAGTCAGGTAAAATCCCAAATCAAAACCGAGGTCCTAAGGGCATTGCTCCCCAAATCCACCAATATTTGGCCCAGGTTGGCAGGACCCATAGCAATAGGGCCCCATCTCCCTGTTTCACTGGAGCTGCTCCCAGCACCGCCTTGCTTCTCTGGGTTTCCCATTAACCCCTCTGGGATCAGCATTTTCCTCAGTCAGGGCCTGTTTTAGGGGTTCAGAGCTCACAGGATGCCTGAGCCTCAGTCAATTTGGACTTGGGAACTTGGGGTTTCATCACAGCAGGCTGGAGGTGAATACAGGATTGGGGGGCATGAGTGCAAATCACGGGGAAGGCTCGAGTTCTAGGTGTTGGGAAGGAGATAACTAGAGAGGATGGTGTCAAAACTATAGCTCCAAGGGCAGGGTAATGCAGTGGTCAAACACGTTACTATATGACACTGAGATGACACTGTTTGCCAAAGAGTGCTACCTACCCCGGTCTGCCTCTGGCTGGGGTCCTTTCTCTAGCTAAACTGTTTTTGTTTTGACATACCACCCCAGTACCCCTGGTCGTTGCTAGAGACAGACTCCCAGCCGGGCAGGCTGCTGTTTTGCCCTAGAGTGGGGGCTGTAATGTTCTTAAATGCTACGCTTTTGCACAAGGCTTGACTGAACACTGTTACTGCAGATTAACTATGCAGCATGATTCTGTCATTGTGATAACGTCTACTAGATGCTAAAAGCATCCTTTGGCATGAGAATATTTATGGGTATTGAATGGAATATTATCCAATTTGTCTGATCACTTCTATCCAGACACATCTCCCACGCTTTGCAAATAATAATGGCCAGAGAACCTTGGAAGGTAGGATGGCCTGAGCAATGAGCCCCCATTGCTCAGAGGGGAAAATAAGTCACCAGGAGAAGGAATGATGTTTTATCGGGAAAGCTGTGGTGGCAGTAGCGAAGGTGCAAGTGGGTACCCTGCCTATGCGCCCTGTAGACTTTCTGTAATACTCTTTTCTAAGCCTGGTTAGCAGCTATCTGGTGTGTCTGGCAAGCCTCTGAGAAAAGAGTTCTCTCTTCCACATGAAAGAGCTCTCCTATTTCTTCATCCTCTTTCCAAAATGGCTGCGACACATGGAAATTATGCAAAAGGTGATTAATTTGAGAATGTTTCTCCTCCCTTTGTAACTGTCCTCAGCCATGTACCAGCTGTGGCCCAGCCATTTTCACAAGTCTGTAACCCTGTAATGAGCTGTTCTAGTGTCTGTTGCTGGAAAGGGTTATTCAATGAGCAAGTCTCTCTGACTGCTGCTTTGTTCTGTGGCAGGGCTTAGCTCCCTGCTATGTGCCTCTCAGCCATGGTGAAGAGGGGAAATAGGAACATGACTCTAGCTGGTGTTCCCAGTACCGAATCCCCTTGTGGGTGCCCAGCCAGGCTAGACTTTGGAGAACTGTGTGGCTTAAAGTCAGTCTCTATCCTGCCCTTGAGGAGATGACCAGATGGCAGTGGCAAGTTCTCTGCATGAAAGCTGTATATCATATAGCCTCTGTGCTTCCTGGCTGGATCTGAACTAAGCATCTAGGGACATCAAAAAGAATTGGTAATGGCAACACCAGTCTCAAACCTAAACCTATGCTCTGTAGGACTCTTTCTCCCTAAACTTTATATGTCAATATCCTCTATAGCCTCAGAGAAAGACAGACCAAGCCTTTAGCTTTTCCTTCGTTTGATGTCCATTTTGCCTCTCTCCTGTCCAAAACAGTGCTTCCTTTCACCAGAGGTATTCTCTCCATGGAGTTTGCCTATGCTCTGCCACTCTTGGGCTTGCTCCTGCTCCCTGCTGCTTGTTTGGAACAAAATTTATTACAATATCAATAATGTGACTTGTATACAAGGTCTAGCACTGCCACATGCAAGCGCTCTGTGTAAATCATCAGCATTGGCATCTTGGTAATTGCCCTGTAAACTGGAAGGAATTATTTTGCTGTCTACAGCAATGAAACCTTCCCTTCCTCCTGTGCAAATGGGTTTCGGTGACACACACACATTAATTACACTTGTGCAAATGGGTGCTGGTGACACATACACTGATCACACTTCTGCTCCCACACACTCTTGTGCTTTCACCTTTCTTGCTTACTCTCCCTCTTGCACCCAAATACACAGTATCTATATGAAAAATGCATGCAGCCATGTGCACACAGGGCACACCGCTGCTCTCTTACAAGCGTACCTTACCTTTTATGCTCACAAACACGCATGCCATCACTCAGACATGCATACCACTTGTTGCTGTGTTTGGAAACACACACGCACCTTCTCATCACATTCACTCCTGATTAGATACCCTCACATAAACCAAAACTTTTGCCCCAAAAGAGCTCAAAGACAAATGCTGCAGGCAACTCTCTCGCCCACATGCACACCTATGTGCCTGTGTGTGCCCACTGCAGTGGCCTTGCGCATTTCTGTGCTGTCAGCTTTGTTTGTTTTATTTTACCCACACTTTGCAACACATAAGCATACGTATTTGTTTATAGCCTCTGACACGAGGCCCGCTATTGCTCCACTGTGCAGGCATCCCACCCCTGCAGACATACCCCATCCTCTCCTCTTCATCTGCCAGCACACATCCACATACATCTGCACATATATACCTGCGCACCTGCCTCATGGATTCCTGCCTTCCTCTTCCACCTGCCTCCTTCCTTTTCTCCTGGCTCTCTCCCATTCCCCACTCCTTGCTCTTTGCCATCTCTAATCACTTTCTGACTCTCTTTTTACTGCTGTGAAATTGTCAACCCGAGGCAGTGGCTTTCATGCAGCCTTGTGATGAATCTAGTTTATTCCGAACTACGAGGTTTTGCACAACTTGTTTAAAGCTGAGTGCTCTCACCCCATCTTCCTGCAGAATCGGTTTCCTTCAACTCCCACCTTTTTCACCACTCCTCCCAGGTCAAATCTCCAGATGAAGTGCAAGGAGAACAAGAATATCCTGCTTTTCTGTTGAGCCTTTTCCCTTCAAAGGATCCCAGAACCATCTGCACAACAGAGCTGCTGCGTACATCTGCTTCTGGGGTACAACTTGATAAATGGGAGTGGGACTATATCAGAGCAAGGTCGACAAAGAGCCAGTTAAGTTGAAGGGAGTGCATTGCCCTGCTCATCCTGGTACACGCCCATCTCTCTGGCTAGGGACTATGCAGGTCTAGCTTGGCTTGTTCACTCCCCTTAGCGTGATGTTGGAGTGCAGATGCAGGGTCTGAGCTGAGCGTGCAGTGTTTAGTAACCACCCCTGTCCATAGGGATGTTCCCTGGAGGTCTCCATGCAATTCTACCCAGCCAGACCCTCCTCAGCATCTCCTTTGCTAGTCATGCACTAGAATAGCCTGCTGCATGCTCAAAGGGTAGTGTGATTTAGTGGGGAAAGGGAGCAGGCCTTGTCTCTTTCCTGTGGCAAGAAGCCCAAGTGTGGTGCATGTGGATGATGGGGGAGCCTGATACCTTTTATAGGGACTATCAGCCAAGTCCTTGACCAGAGGACAAGTCCAACTGAGAGCTGTGCCAGACTTGTGCCAAGAGCAAGCACAGCTGTGGCAGTGGTGGGCAAGTCAGCCAGACACCTCATCCCTACCGTGAAGGCAGTTTCTTCATGGGCCGAGTGAAATGAGGGCTCCACAGTCCATCACCTCTTGGCTAAAATCTCCAGTAAGGAGCAGCGAACGCCAAGCATGGGACATGGAAATGCATCTTCTCCGAACAGGATTGAGAGGAGCAAACTCTGTTCCCATGGTTACTGAGCAGCTACCCAGCAGGCCCGATCTCACATCACTAACTCTGCCACTTAATTAACTGACTGCTCATTATTTCCCAAAATGAGCTGCCTCCATCCTCCTGCCTGCCTGAAATTCAGCCCTCAGATGCTCTCTGCAGAGCAGCCCGTCTGCTCCTAGCCTCCTATCTTTCATTTAAAACTCACCCACCACTCAGCATTGGAAGGAGCTAGAGGCAAGCCCCAGGACTGAGAGAGGGCTCTAAAGGGAAGTTTTTCTTTAGGAACATCAGCTGCCTTTCGGTAGGATAAAGTAAATAGGATCATATCAGCACAGCTCAGTGCAGAACTGTGTCTGGGCCTTTCCATTACTGATGCTTTGGGCATCTTTCTCACTGCAGACTTCTGCTAGCTAAAGGTTACTGGGCCCTGTCCTTCTATTGTCTGTGCAGGAATACACATGAAAGGGTCATACGAGCATGAACTGGAGAGAGGGGAGTAATTAGCTGTGTTCATAGAATAATACCAAGTATGGTCTGATATTTATACTCCTTTCCCAAATGAATGGGTGGACATTGCTGAGATCTAAAGGCACTAGGGCTGATATGCAGCTCTCTGAACCACTCCTCAGGGAGGAAGAGTTGGAGAAAGACCTGCAGCACTTGCACTGGGGTCCTGCACCTTCCGTGTAGGATGGGGCAGCAGTCACACGCTGTAGGGTGAGGGAAAGAAAGGATGTGGTCCGAGGCCTGGAGAGAGAAGGCTTTCAGTTTTTTGCTCAATGGATTGCTCTAATCCTACTTGTACTATGTTTCCTATGCTTTTGCCCTTAGATATCTAACCTTTTTCTTGGGCAGCCTCAGTCTTTGAAAAACAACCTTTCCTGCATGGCTGCTAACATCTCTCCCTGACTCTTAATCTCCCTGCTGCTGTTGCCTTACGTTGGCATCTCCCTATTTGAGGCTGAACAAATCCAGACAAAACAAGAGGTTTTAGAGAATTTGTCGTCAGTTGAGAGTCAAACACTGGCACGCTCTGTGCTGCAGATGATTGCTTTGTGAAGCTGTCTCTGCAGTGCACGCTGCTCTTTGCAGCTGAAAGAAGCAGCTCTCAAACTCTAACGGGGGCTCAGTAGCAGGAGGTAAAGAGTGACCAGGCTTAGCTGTCATGTATAAGTAAAGATGAGACTACCACAGGTTCTGACTGTCCTCTGATAGAGAATTGGAATAAGCAGGGTATTTTAATGAGGAATGACCCATAAACCCACAGTTCTAGGACCTATGGAAACTGAGGGTCAAAAGGGCAAGGGCTGAAGTGGAGTGCATGGTACTTGAGTGGTAGTCTGAGACCAAATGACTGTGGAGTCTGCCTTCCTCTAGGAGAGGATGCTCCTGGACTGAGAAGGTTGCTTGTCTACTCCCAGAAGATGGTTGGGGTCACTTGTTTTGTAGGGTGAGAAATTCCATGTGAAAGGCAATGAGGCTGGTGGGTAACGGTGAGGTAAAGCAATGCTATTAGTACCCTGATCTCCTTACCAGTTTGTCAGAGTAGGGAGAGGGCTCACCGGCTCCCATGTCATAGTATGGAGTCTGCAGAGGGAGTTTTTGGATTTCCTCCTCGTATTTCATGTTGTCTAAGTGAACAACCTGTATTAGAGGAGACAGAAGAAGGATGAGGAGAGCAAGCACTATCCTTCTGCCACAATTTGGGGCAACATCTGCTTCAAGTGAAAACATCACTGTCAAGGGCAGTGCATCTTACCTTCTCCCTTGCTCCTACCATATTATTTGCTTCCTGTTTTCTATTTCATTCTCATGCTCCTCTGCTCACTACTACCACTCATAATATTCACAATGGTGAGGATGCTCGAAAAACTCTCACACCTAAGAGGCCATCTGAACAGCTCCTCATTCAGATTTCAGCCCCACTTGAAAGGGAGTAAACAGGATCCAAATTACAGCTTTAAATTAGTGCCAGTCTTTGGGAATTCTGGGCAGGAAGGTCCTAGCTTCCTGGCCTTCAAGCTTAGGCCATGGGCTTGTTTGTGCCTGCAAACCCTATGCTCCAAATTTCAGGCACTGTGGGCCCTGCTGGGAATCAGTTTTTTTTGCCAGAAGAAGGAGCTTGTAGCTAGACTGGGGAGACATACCTGGATATCTTCTGCAGTCAGATGGCTTTTCATCTCCTGTTTCCTCTTTGGTGGAGGGGCAGGTTTGTGGGATGGAGGCAAGTCAGTTCTGTAGGTAAAGAAGTGGCTGCTGATTAGAGAGCAAGAGAGAGAGAGGTCTGCTTGCTTTGGTGTGCCATGACAGTCAAGATCCTGCATGCATCACAATCAATGACAAGATTTGATTGTGTCTGTCACTGAACTGTTGATATAGTCATGTAGATTATTTTCAGTAAACCCCTCATGCCCTCCCTTTCACCTCAATTAGAATTGTTAATAGAAATAAATGCCCTCCTAGTGTTCTGTTTATAATTCCAAGCAAATCTCCGTGTCATATTGCAGATCCTAAGGGTGAAGTTGGGATACCAGTTTCCTGGGGCTGTTTTGGAATGGCTCCAAATCATCCCATTGGTGAGGGCTCATTTTATGGCTGTGGGGTACCAGAAAGTGTCTGGCAGTGACTGTTATTAATCAGCAAGGCAATGTCACACCCAGTTTGGGAGCTTATCTGGAACGGGAGCTGATGCCACAGGCTTCCCACTAGGGGTCTGAATCTTGCTCATACACGTGCTATGCCACGCAGGGAGGTTTATCCTGGACTCCTAATCAGGGGATCAGATTTTGCCCCAAAGCATAAGGATTGGCAGCCATTACAATCTCCAGCCTCGAGAATGTCTCTGCGCGTTCTGCTCATAGGCACAGATGTGTCTAATCCTTTTACAATACTTACTAAAACTCTGATCTGCTAATTAACTGGCTTTCCCCCCTCCTTCCTCTCTGTACAAACTTCACCAGATCTTCTGACAGAGCTACTTTTCTTGGCAGTCCAATGTATTCCAAGGTGGGACCAGAACGTATAGGGGAAGGGTAAAATGGGACCCAAGCCTCTGCAAAACGTTGACTTTATGACTCTAAAGAAAAGAAATGCTATTAACTTTCGGAGGCTTTGGAGCAGACTCCACAACAGAGGCAGCACCTCTGCAGACTAGGGCACCGTTGTACTTCTGTTCTCAGTTAAAGTGCCTCTTCCCTATGCCTGCCTGGAAGACCGTTGTGGGAAGTGGATTGTCTGCGTGCATCTCTATCATAGGGCTGATGCTGTTGATAGCACCACAAGGTGAAATTGCCTTTTTTTTTTTTTTTGGTGCCATTCTGTCTCTCCTCCTGTTTTTTCCCCCCATGTTCCTTTTCTCTCTCTCTCCTGCTATCCTCCAGTGCCTTCTCTCAAATGGGATTAAATGGAGCACAAAACGTGGCCAAGATGTAATAACAACAACGAGGTGGGGGTTAGGGAAGATAAAAGGTACTTCTAGCCTTTGGACTTTCAGCGCCTTTCCTATTGAGGTGGGAAGGGAGCAGGTGCCCTTGAAAAGGCAGTGACAAGAGCGGCATGGGGTTTTTCAGGAAGAGGCCAGGATGAACACTTCTGAAGAGGGTTCTATTCATGCTGCATGCGCTGAACTCCATGCCACCAAATTCTCTGACTAGGGTATGTGCTGTGCAGCGTGGGGCAGAGCAAAGCAAGTACCTCTCAGAGATCATCACCTCTCCCTACTCTGTTATTGTCAGAAGTCGTGTCTTCAAGCTGACGCCATATGTGAGAAATGAGAATGGTGGGTGGATATGAATCCTTTCTGGACTCTTTGGGATACCATCAGAGCTGCTCAGGTTTTGTCAGAGACCCCTCTCTGACAGAATCTAATTCAGCCTAATTCAAGAGCCTGAAGCCATCTCTCTGAAAAAAGGAGGATTAGGATCTTCTCGTACTGCTGGAGGTGCAAGTGGCCGCTCAGCACGGCCCCATCTATGTATGGCTTGAGATTGGGAGCAAAAACCAGGCCACAGGGAGAACAGGTGGAGAACTGAGGGGATGGCTGGAAGCTCACAGGGGCCCTGCTTTCCCATTTAGTTCTGATCTTAACCTTTCCCACTTGTTTAGGCAAGCTGGTTTAACCAGTCCAGGTTTGGTGGAAAACATCATCCTGGATCTCCCCAACCCTATCAGTGGGAACAAGAAGGGCCACTTGTGGGAAGGGGTTAATAGAGTATTTTTTCATCCTGCGCAGAACAGCTGCACAACATCAAGGATATATTACAGTGAAAGCATAATCTGAGTGAGCATCATAGTGCTTCAGTTTCCACTTAAGGCTTGTGATAAGAGTTCAAAAATAGGCAAGAGTAGGATGGAAAGCAGTAGAGGAGCCCTAAGGAGCAGAGCCAGAGGCATGAGCCAGAGGACGGTGGACAGGAAGAAACTGCAGGAAAACCAGGAAGTTTGTCTGTTTTTGCTGTGTGCCAGTGTCTCTGCTGTCCCATCTAATAGCACCTGTCTCATCAGTGCATGTACTTTCTATGAGCTTGGAGCTACTTACAAGTCGTCGTCTGTTTCAGTGCGGTTCTTTTGTTGCCGCCTGTAGACAATAAATACTGTGACAGCCACACCGATGATGAGAACTGCTGCAATGACACCTCCCACGATCCCAATAATGCCTCCTGGGGCGCCCTGAGGTAGTGGCTTATCTGCAACACAGAGGGAAACACAGAAGAGAGGGTTAGAGCATCGGACAACACCATGAACAAGGCACAAAGACCAGCAGAACCGGGGACTCATGGAGCAAACACGCCAGCCTGCTCTGAAACTGCCTCAGGTAGTCCTGTCTGCAGACAGCTTCACAGAGGGAGACAGCTCATGCTGAAATGCGGTAGTCAGAGCTCAAGAGGGACGGAAATCCTGGTTTACAATCGCAGCCCTATTGAAATGAAGGAGAGCTTTGATCCTCGGCTTTTCTAAACTAGACATTGATAGCAAAGTCTAATTTATTGAAGTGGAGCAGAGGTGCGTGCATGTCAGTCCTAAACCTTACAAAACAGATGACCGGATTGTAGGATTTAGGGACAAGGAGGGGTTATATTGTATGTTCCATCTCCTGCTTGCCCCGTGGCTGGAGAGCTTTGTGACTTGGGCCAGCTCCTCTGTGACTAATGTGGACCTCATTCAAAGGAAACCTATCCCATGGGCTTGATGGGAAAGCACTTTGAAACATACGATAAAAGGATTTAATTTGCTCTACCTTCCAACCTAATTAAACTTGAAAACTAGCTAATTGGTACTTTGTACTTACAGCTCTGGCAGTGATGAAAGGAGGAGATAATTGGAATAGAGGAAGAAGGAGGAGGAGCAGAAGGGAAAGAAATCCAGGGGAGGGGAGGGAGACAGGGATGAGGGGGAAAAGGTGCTTTGTGGAACTTGTCTGTCACAGCTAATTCTTGTACTTTCCTTAATGTACTGGCTATATGAACCTTATCTGGCAACAAATATAGCCTTGATTATTGTAGTGGTAGCCAGCAGCTCTGCTAAACTGCTCATCCCGAAGACGTTAAAATGATACCCCTTTTACATGTGTGCATGTATCTAAAATGTATCTGCACCCATTCCCACGTACTTTTTGGGGATGAACATCTGCAACTTATTTCCACCCTACGTCCATGGATTCAGCACTTTCTTAGCTTGAAGGCTGGACTCTCTACGATATTAAGTGCAAAGCACAACTGCAGAACTGACTGTGCTGAACCACTGCCAACAGACTATTCCCAGACCTTACCTTACCGCCAGCCTTTTTCACCTTTCAGATTTGCTGCTGTCATCCACGAGTGAACTGAGGTGTAGAAACATTTCCCAGGGAAATCCTCTCTCTCTAGTCAGTACTAACAAACTGCCCAGCAGAGAACTGGCATGTTTACCGTATCAGTACAAAACACTTGAACTCCTAGCATCATGGCGTGCAGCCCAACCAGTGAAGAATTTGCCCCAGACAGTCTTGACACTGATCTCCTATGCCTTTCCTGGAGATTTCTAGGTGAACCTGCCTTTTTCTTGCCTCGCAAGATACTTCCATCAGTTGGCATCCTGCAGCCAGCCTTCCCCTGTTCCTTAATTAAAAGCTCAGAGCTGTGTGTCATCAAGTGGCAGGATGCTGTAGTCATCAGAACGTGAGCCCCCTTCCCGCCTCCCCCATCGGTGGCAGTCACTTTTCTCTTTCCTTCTCCATAAGTCACAGTCTCTTGTAAATAATATTTCTGCCTTGAGACAGCTCACTTGCAGCCACGCACAAGCAGACAGCTGACATATTACAATCTGATCCCCAGGACTGTATTTGAGATTGTGGCAGGGATGGTGACTGTTGTTTTTAAAAAATAATCTGCCCCTAATGGCTCTTTAGATGGCAGGTAGCGAGCAGAGAACATCAGCCTCCTGCTACTGCTGTAAATCGGTATGCTTATTTTGGGGGACGGGGGTGGGCAGAAGGAGAAAGAGGGAAAGGGAATAAATAAAAACAAAATGAATCTCTGGGAACTCGAATAGGGCTGTATGGTAGCGAAAGGGGTCAGTAAGACTTAGGGTAAAATGCAGCCATCAGTTTGTAAATGAGAGAGGAAATATAGGGCACAGGGAAAAGACAGTAAGGTGATGAGGAAGGAATGGAGGAGAACAAGGAGAAATGCAAATGTTCTGGGGTGTCTATACTTCAGTATACTTTTCTTGCCAAATTCTTAAGATTACAATGTGAACTTCCCAGTGTTGGTACCCAGCCCGCTCCTTTGGCCGTCTGGCTCTGGCAGGGTGGTGTGACAAGGCAGTACTTTCACATAATGGCAAGTACCAAGCAGTGAGAAATCCCTGTGAAAACAAGCCCTTCCTCTACATGTGTAGCTCTTTCCCAGAGGACAGGCTGAGCCATGCTGCTACAGGTGTTGGGTACATCACTGAAGGAGTCCAGCCAGGTGGCTGTGAAAGCCAACAAGGGTGGGAGCTGATGGGAAGAGGGAAGGACAGGAGGTGAGGTAGATAAATGGGAATTGAAGGTCTGGGGAGTGCAAAAGAGGGCAGAGGACTATATATATGTGTGTGTGAGTACATATAAATGTTCATATCTGTATGAGAGAGAGAGACTATGTATGGATTATGGTTGGACAGGAGAAGAGGAGTTAGCAAGAAGGGAAGGAGAAAGACCTTTCCTTCTGCTGTCTTTTTCACCATCCCTTTTTTTCCCCAGCCCTCTTTCATCTCTATCCCCAGCTTTTTACTTCCTCCATCTCCCCTTCCGGGGAAAGGGATGTGGCTGGTACTTTTTGGAGGACTGCTTACCCAAATGTCTTGAGATGCCTTCTGACAGCCACTGATCTGTCTAGGGTGCAGGGCTCACCTGCAACCTATTCGATTTCCTTCCCTCCTCTGCCTGCATTGCCTCTTGAACAGGCAAGATGAGGAGCACCAGCAATGCTTTTCTGAAGGGCAAGGTGGCTGCAAGAATGGGTGTTGTAAGTGAAACAAGAGGCACGAGGAAAGCTTCAGGACAAGATTTTAAGAACTGGCAGATGAGGATTTGGTGGCACTGACAGGGTTTTTGGGCAGCCCTGGAAAGATACTTGTAAGGCTTGTGAATCAGGATCAGAATAAATTGGCAGGACAGCCCAGGGGCCTCCAGACTGGAGTGGGAAAAGGCTTTTCCAATCAAGAATGCAAAACCCCTTGCTCTGTGTCACGCTTGGATAATTTAAAGCTCTCCAAAAAGTTAGTGTGAAGCATCTGGCAGTGAGGCAGGTACCAAGGAACCCAAAGGGGCTGAACACACAGCTCGGTCTCATCTGGATGCCTAAGGGCTGCTGGGAACTCTTGTTCCTGCTGGAAATGGAATTAACTCAAAGTATTACAAATAAGGAGTAGAGGAGGACACCCACCCCCAGTTACAATGCAGTTTGGTTCATTACTTCGTTCTTCCACAGCTCTTCTGGAGATGGATGCGGATACAGAAAAGGAAGAAAAGTAGATATTTCTCCATAAAGCCTCCTTGCTAGTCACCTCATGGTGAGTGTTTGTGTTTCCAAAACTCTTTACCCAGTAAAAGTCTTTCTGTTTTAGAGATGGAGAGTAAGGCACAAGAGAAAGAAAGTATGAGCTATTCAATGGTAGAGTCAAAAAGGGAAAAGAGGGGTCCAGGACCCCCAGCTAGGCCATGGGGCCCTCAACTTTATCCTGTACTCTAGGAGTTAAAGATCAGTAGATGAGGGAGAGTGGATATGCTGCTGGTCATGTTGTGTGATGAAATATATGAGGATGATGAGTCTTACTTGCCTAGTCAGAGCTGTCGGGACTGAAAAATGATAAAAAGCCAGTCACTGCCCTTCGTGAGTCAGGAGACTTAAAATAACCAGTCAAAACATTCTGTTAGAGCAGGACTTCTAGTTAACCTGCCTGTGAGGCAAGGTGAAGCACGTTCAACCAGAACCATGTGGCACAAAGTTGACCACACTGCCAATGAGATGAAAATACTTCCACTGACCAAATCAATTAGAACATTTTGTGAGGTCCTGACCCTGTATTTCACCACTCCCAATGCTCAGTTAAATCACATTCAGCAATCCGGTGCTGTCAGTTGTTCACATCTTCCCCCCAAAAGTGAAGAATAGTCACTGGAAAGAGTGAATCCAGAGACGTGTCAGGCATGACCACTGTTCACAATTGGCACATAGTTTCACGACACAACCTGTGATGACAAACGCCCTTGTCCAAACAGCCACAGGCCTGATGGCTCCATTTACATTGATCGAGTTGTGGCTCAGATTTACTGCCTCGTCCATGCAAACAGCCATGGTAGCGTTTCAAACCACCATAACAAATGGACGGAGCTGTCCACACGCACCATGCCCATGGGGTGAAATAGTGCAGCTGCAGAGCTCTATAGTAAATAATAACAGCGGAACAATGAAGGCTTTGGAGAACCAGCTCACAGGAGAGAGAAAGAGAGAGATGTTGCTAAAGGGAACTTGAAGTGAGGCAAAGATGGAGAAACTGGAAAGTCTCCAGAGGAGAGTATGCCAGAGCATAGGAAATGACTCAGATGTTCTTGGTATGGGGGGAGTGTTTTAGAGAATTTTGCGAAAAGTAAGGAAAGAAGAGGCAGCATCTGTGATACTTTTGGGAGTAAAGTCTCTTCTCTTAAAGCCACTTGTGTGGCTGGGACGTTTTCATCATGAAGGAGCCCAGCTGTTCTTAGGATCAAGACTTAAACTGGGTTTATTCCATCCCTTCTGAGGGTCTATGCCTGTGTGGGATGGATTTTTTTTGTTGTTTTTTGTAAAGCTGGAGTCAGCCAGGCAATTCTGCATTTGCTGCAGTGTATGCAGGTGTGATATTCTGCCTGAGCAGGTGGAGAGGAGAGGGTCTGTGGAGTGTGGTCCTGCAGGAATTGCACAGAGCTGTGACGATAGGACAGAGGTGCTGGCAGGCAGGAAGGTTTCATTCACACGAGAGGGCTGGGTCCCAGACAGGTACTGCTGTCTTTGCACCCTGACTATCCACCATGTATTCAGCTGCCTCATAGAAAGCCTGAGCCCTGTTTAATTGCTGAGGCACTAACCTGCATCCTCCAGATAAATCTGCAAGCTGAATAGGCCTCTAGGCCCGGTTCACTGCAGCTCTGGGTGAAGCTAGTTTGCTCAAAGGGAACTGCATGCCTTTC